GGACACAACCCCTGGGCTCAGAGTGTGGCTGGTAGGATGCAAGATCATGCAGTAAGAGGCTGGAGAGAGGTAGTGCCAGCCATGCTGGACTTTCTAGGTCATCATATGACAGAGTCTTCATGGTCTTGGTCAGGTCTTCCTTTCTTCTGAGGACTTTCCATATACAACTGTGCTTTTTTAGGAGCTTACCTAAGACCTGTTGGCTCTCAAAATCATGGAAACCCATTATTTCTGAATGTTGTGATGGAGAGACAAGAATAGGTTTTCTTTTACATGGAAAGTATAAATTCAATGTCAGTGTGTTTGTATGTGTATGTATATATATATAAATTAGTATGGGTATTAAATTGTGGTGTATATAGTATACTTGTATATTATTTTATATACACTGTATAGTGGCATGGAGGAGTTATAAATGATAGGAGTGGTAAAACTAATTCGATTCAATTTTAGGATGCATAAATAAATCAGATTTTGCAGAAAACTCCTCTGTGTCTTGTTCATCTTGGAATGAGTTTATATTCCCTCAGGAGGTTCTAACTGGAAAGAAAAGATGTCCTGAAGTCTATTGGGTAGGGAAAGGTAGATTTTTTTTTTTGAGTTGGAGTCTCTCACTCTGTCGCCCAGGCTGGAGTGCAGTGGCACGCTCATGGCCACTGCAGCCTCGACCCGCTGGGCTCAGGCGATCCTTCTGCCTCAGCCTTCCAAATAGCTAAAACTGCAGGCAGGCGCCACCACACCTGGCTAATTTTTTGATGTATTGTAGTGCTGAGGTCTCGCCAAGTTGCCCAGGCTGCTCTCAAACCTGTGGGTGCAGGCAGTCCTCTCCCCTCGGCTTCCCAAAGTGCTGGGATTATAGGTGTGAGCCACTGCACCCGGCTGAAAAGGTAGATTTAAAAAGTTAGATTTCTAGAAAAAAGAAAACTTATGAGTTAGTAAATTGGGGAATGACTTATGAAAAATGAGCTGCATCAAGGTTGAAAGTATTCAAGAGTAACTCATTCATTTGGTATTCATTAGGAAATGTTCCTGAATGAACAAGCTGTGAATGAAAGTTTAGGTGAAGAAGTTAGAGAAAGGAGGACACCGGAGATAGAAGAATGGAAGTGATTCCTAGATTAGGTTCTGTAGTTTTTTTTTGTTGTTGTTGTTGTTTGAGTTAGAGCCTCACTCTGTCGCCTAGGCTGGAGTGCGACACACTCGTGGCCACCCCAGGGATGAACTGCTGGGCTCCAGCGATCCTTCTGCCTCGGCTTTCCAAGTAGCTAGCCTGGCTAATTTTTTGATTTATTGTAGAGACTAGTTCTTACGAAGTTACCCAGGCTGATCTCACACCCGTGGGCTCAGGCAGTTCCCTCGCTTTGGCCTCCCCAAATGCAGGGATTGCTGACTTGAACCACTGTGCCCAGCCTGTTCTATAGTAATTATATTGAAAAGTAGATAGTTCTTTAAAATTGGGGAAAGTCCACATGCAGCATTCTCAACTAAAGTGTATATATTTTATTTTTTAATTTTTTTTTTTGAGTTGGAGTCTCACTCGGTCACCCAGACTGGAGTGCAGTGGCCGCTCCCGGCCACCGCAGCCTCGACCTGCTGGGCTCCGGCGATCCTTCCAACTCAGCCTTCCGAGTAGCCAGAATTACAGGCGCGCGCTACCAAGCCCGGCTGACTTTTTGATTTATTGTAGAGATGAGGTCTTGATGCCCAGGCGGGTCTCGAACCCACGGGCTCAGGCAATCCACTCACCTCAGCCTCCCAAAAGCGCGGGATTACAGGCTGAGCCACCGAGCCCGGCAAGTGTATATATTTTAAAATGATGAAAATTATTGTGAAAGTAATACATGCATACTATAGAAAACTATAAAATATAGAAATATAACAAGACCAAAACAAATTTTTCACTTGAACTACCCTGAGACAACTAAGAAATATATTTGCATGCTTTATTTTGACAAGGTCATAGAATAAAGTTTTTTTTATCTCGTTCTTTTCTCTTAGTATAACATAAGCCACTCCTAATAGTAATAAAAGGATTTTTAAGCAACATTTTTAATGCTATATGATCTATTGTGAGAGCCAACCAAAATTTTGGCATCAAACATTGAAATATTCAACTTGTTAGTGCCAAGGGGGAATCGAAAACGTGTGAGTTCCTGTCCTCAGAAAACTTAAAATCGAATAAAGCAGGATTTAGCCAGCTCTGTGGACAGCACACTTTGTACAAGTGAGTGAATGACAAATGAGTGGTTCAGAGCACTGTAGAAATAAGTTATGGAGGGAGGGAGGGGGAGAGAGAGAGAGAGAGGGAGAGAGGGAGAGACTGAGCGAGAGTCTGAGAGACTGAGACGCTGCTGGATCTTAAAGCGTGAATTGAATTGAACTTAGCTGAGCAGAGCGGAAAGGCATTAGAGATTTTTATAAGAGCAGGAAATGCCACACCTGTCTGAGAAAAAAAAGAGCAGATCAGAGAAGTTGGAGAAAGGGATTTGTATGTGGGAAGGAATCCAAGTCGGAAGAGTACTTTGGGGCCAAATGTAGAGACCATTGAATGCCAATCAAGTTTACACTGTGTCTTAGGGGTCGGTAGTTACCATATTTTCATCCATGTCAAACTTTTGCCGATCAGCTATGAACTGAGAAAAAATAAGGACAATATAATTGACCTTTCATAATTCAAAATTTTATTCATGAAAAGGATTGTTGTCTGAAATTTACTATTGTATTTTAATGTAGAAAAATGTTCATTTACCGGGCTCGGTGGCTCAGCCTATAATTCCACGCCTTTGGGAGGCTGAGGTGAGTGGATTGCCTGAGCCCACGGGTTCGAGACCCGCCTGGGCAACTTGGCGAGACCTCATCTCTACAATAAGTCAAAAATTAGCTGGGTGTGGTAGCGCGCGCCTGTAGTTCAAGCTAATTGGAAGGCTGAGGGAGAAGGATCGCCGGAGCCCAGCTGGTCAAGGCTGCGGTGGCCGGGAGCGGCCACTGCACTCCAGTCTGGGCGACAGAGTGAGACTCCAACTCAAAAAAAAAAAGAAAAATGTTCATTTATGAAACAATCGTGGCAGAAGTTTGTTTTCTTCCCTTTAAAAGACTTTCTCTTTATTGGTCAGTAACCATAGAAAATAGTTGTACATTTTTGAGTTGGGGAATACCAGCACAGAGAGACCCTAGAAAAATAAATCCTGTGAAATTTTGCAAGTTGAAGTTTAGGAATTCAGATAAGGATTCTGACCGGAGGGTGGGCACTGGGAATGGAAAAGAGATGGGTGAGTGCAAGACAAATAAGGAGGAAGAATTGTGGTGAAAATGGTTAAACAGGAAGTGAAGGAATGTCGGTGGTGTTTGGGTGATAATAAAGTCCAATGCAGTAAACCAGTGCAGAGTAAATCCTAGGCTTTTCCTGGGATATACTTTTAAAATAAGAAGTGAAAGGACAGGCAGAGGCCTATAATCCCAGCCCTTTGGGAGGCCCAGGCAGGAGGATTGCTTGAGCTCAGGAGTTTGAGACCAGCCTAGGTAACACAGTGAAATTTCATCTCTATAAAAAATTTTAAAAATTAGCCAGGTGTGGTGGTACATGCCTGTGGTCCCTGCTACTCGGTGTAAGGATTGCCTGAGCTCAGGAGGTTGAGACTGCAGTGAACTGTGATTGTGCCACTGCACACCAGTCTGGGCAAAAGAGTAATACTCCAAATTAAAAAAAATAAAATAGCCGGGCTCGGTGGCTCAGCCTGTAATCCCGCGCCTTTGGAAGGCTGAGGTGAGTGGATTGCCTGAGCCCGCGGGTTCGAGACCCGCCTGGGCAGCGAGACCTCATCTCTACAATAAATTAAAAAAATCAGCCGGGCATGGTAGTGCGTGCCTGTAATTCCGGCTACG